GGGGGTGGCGGTCGGGCAGGCGCTGGGCTCCGGTCTCACCGTTTTCCCCGCTCTCTTTCCCCCCAGGTGATAAAGGGGAGCAGCGGCAATGTCTCGCTGGAGAGCCTTGACTTCTTCGGGCGCAAGGAGGAACCTCTGCTGGGGTCTGCCGAGGAAGGATTTGGGCTCACAAGGGCTGGGGAGCAGCAGAAGGTGGATGGAGCAGGGAAAAACGGTGGAGAGGTGGCAGGAAAGAGAAAAAGAGCTGCAGAAAGCAGTGTAGTGAAAAGAAAAAAGAAAAAGACACGAGGTATTTATGTACATGTGCACATGTCCTCACCAGAATACCCTGATGAAGTTTATCCTTATTTGTATCAGTTTACTTTAAACTTGCAAGTACTGTAGGTCATTTTACCAGCAAAAAAAATACTTTTGTGTTCCTTGGCTGGCTTGTGTTGGAGCTGATAAAACAGTTGGGCTATGCAGTTGCCATTCTTCAGGAGTGCTCATCATCTTTAGTGAGAATGATAGGACAAAAAAGTTTTTGAGGTGTTCTTTTCTGCCAAATATTTTTTGGCTGGATTTTACTAATGGAAATTTCAATTTTATTTTTTTTTTAAACTTCTAGAAGTGACGTCCATGCCAGAGTTGTCAGAAAGTAATGGAATAAAGTGGATGTCCTCTCTGGAGGCAAAATTTGAAGATGCAAAAGATAAAAAACCTACTGCAGAAAAACTTGAACGCCTGAGAAGAGAAAAGGTGGGGCCACGGATTTCTGATGTAGCAGCAGATTACTGGGTTTCTGTGGGTGTTTTGTCTGAAAACTGAGGTTCATTTGTGATAATTTCTCTTGGGAGGAGGGTGACTGAGCATGGGGAAAATACTCGGAGGCTGAAGCTGTATGTGTTTAGTGTTGTGGCCTCAGAGAAGGAGATTTTTGTCGTTTGCCTTTCAGATAAACCGCTTCAGAAATAAGCACAGGATCAGTGTTCAGGGCATGGATCTTCCTGACCCCATTGCCACGTTTGATCAGCTTCAGAAGGAATACAAGGTCCACCCCAGGGTCCTGGAGAACATCCAGGCTGCAGGGTTCCAGGTCCCCACGCCCATCCAGATGCAGGCCATCCCCGTCATGCTCCACGTAAGCTCTGCTGCTGCCTCCCCTCACAGGCAGGGGGGCACAACCTGGGGATTTTGGGGATAGCCCCTGCCTCTCCCCAGGGTCACGACAGGGGTTAGTGCCACAGCCTAACTGTGAGGCTCTCTCACAGCTGCAGCAGAGTCCCAAACACTGCAAGTACAGTGTTCTTGCTCTCTGCTTTTACTGCTGTATATTTAGTTAGCTTGTAGCATTAATATTTATATGAATGTGATGGTTTTTTTCCCCATTTTTTTCTTATTAAAATATAACACCCTTCTTGTTTTTCATACAGGGTCGGGAACTTTTAGCTTCAGCTCCTACTGGGTCTGGGAAGACACTGGCATTTTGTATTCCTCTGCTAACACATCTGAAACAACCCAGGAACAAAGGGTTCAGAGCTCTGATCATATCACCCACCCGAGAACTTGCCAGCCAGGTGTGTGCTGGGAGGAAAGGGGTTGTTGTCATATTGATGTGCTTAAAAGTTTTCACTCTGTGTGTGTAAAACAGCAGCTTAGTAAAGACTTCTTTCCTTTATTACCCTCAGATATCAGAAAAAGCTAATTCAAACACTTAAGTCTTTTGTGAAATAGCTGCATGTCCAGTCTCTGAGTCTAATCTAAATGATTAGATTAGAGACTCAAGATTCTTTGATTGTATTTTAAAACTGCCCACTGCTTAGGTGCTCTTAGTACCTACTTTGATGTTTGAGATTGCCACAAGAGATTTCTGTGTTTGTTCCAAATGGAATTTCAGCAAATAGCTTTATATTGAAGCTTTGTTATTAAACTGAAATGCTACAGCATTGGGCAGAGTTCCATTTTTTTATTCCCTCAGGAGAGGGGACTACCTCATTAGGGTCCAAATACAATTGTTGGACCTGTGAGAACTTTCAAGTGAATAATTCATGTTAGGAAGCTGCTGCTTAGGTGAAGAAAACCAGACAGCTTTCTCTGAATGCTGAAATCATGTGTAAAGCTGTATTTTGAGGATTGTCTGCATTTGTTCTGCTTAGAAAAGCTAATCAGCTTTGAAAACCCTGTTGAAAATAAAACCAGACTGAAATAAAGCCAGGTTTTCTGTTGAAAATCAGCCCAGTTTGAAAGTGTCTGTGGCTGCCTTTTCAGACCCATCGGGAGCTGGTGAAGCTGGCTGAGGGGACTGGCTTCAGAATACACATGATCCACAAGGCAACAGAAGCAGCAAAGAAGTTTGGGCCCAAGTCTTCTAAGAAATTTGGTAATTGTTTCGACTGCTGAAGTGCTTCTAAACGTTAAAGAAACGTCACAGACCTGTCTCTTGTGGTTTTAAAGAGGTGGGTTAATGCCACTCAAGGTGTGCAGTGTGTTGCTCCATGCTAAAGAAGCAGCTGACGTGGAAGAAATAGAAAGTGAGCCTGAGAGTGGAGCCTGTGAGATTATACCTCTGGCAGATTGGGTTGGCACGTGGGTTTCTCAGGGCTCTGTGGGTCTGGTTTGTGTCTTTTTCAGCATTTTGCCTTTTTTCTTTCTATAGATATCCTAGTGACTACTCCAAACAGACTTATTTTTTTGCTGAAACAAGATCCTCCAGGAATAGACTTGAGCAGGTACTCAGTGTCTTTATCACTTTGCTGCCAGCTTTGCCACTGAGAAGCGGATGCACGCACAGTCCTTGCAGCTCTGAGGGTCTGTTAAAACTTGTGCCTTCTCTGCAAGTGATTGAAAAGAAACCCTCTGTGTTCCTAGTGTGGAGTGGCTGGTGGTGGATGAGTCAGACAAGCTGTTTGAAGATGGGAAGTCGGGGTTCCGGGAGCAGCTGGCCTCCATCTTCCTGGCATGCACCTCCCACGTGGTGAGGAGAGCCTTGTTCAGTGCAACCTTTGCACATGATGTGGAGGAGTGGTGCAAGCTCCACCTCGACAGCCTTGTTCTGGTCTCTGTTGGAGCCAGGTAGGTGTGCTCTGACTTGTTTTTTTGTTTCCTGGGCAAGCTGTGTGCTTGCTTTGCATCAGTCTGCTCAGTTGGATGTCTGTGTTGTTAGTACTGCAGGTTTGTCTATGGAAAAATTGTGTGGGCTTGCAGATCTCTCTCACAGTTTGGGGAAAGTGTATGGGTTTTATAGGTAAACATATATAAAATTTACAAAAAAAAACACTAACATCAACCTGCTTTGGGTGGATTTCTGGTTTCAGAAACTCTGCAGCAGAGACAGTAGAACAAGAGCTGCTTTTTGTTGGATCAGAGACAGGAAAACTAACAGCAATGAGGGAGCTTGTCAAAAAGGTATTTTGGAGCCATTGAGTGTGTTCTGCTTCCTCCTGAATGGAGCTGTGTGTTTGTCAGAGCCTCATTTCCTAGAGCAAAGACTGCTCTGTGACACTTGTTAAATCATTGTGGTATTTTGGAGCCATTGAGTGTGTTCTGCTTCCTCCTGAATGGAGCTGTGTGTTTGTCAGAGCCTCATTTCCTAGAGCAAAGACTGCTCTGTGACACTTGTTAAACCATTGCCCAAATCTGCTGTGTATGAGGGACTTGCTGTGTAAGTACCCTGCCTGTAAATGCTGAGAGTGTTTCCCAGTTCTGTTTGATATTTGAGCCTTGCTTAGGAGCAGTTTGTATTAAGTTTGTTTAATGTTACTTGGCAGTGTGAGTGGGTTCTTCAAATTGGGTGGAAAAAAACCCAAACCTGTTCATTTGTGTGGGTTAGAATGAAGCCTGATGCTCAAGTCAAGAACTGCTCATCAGAGGCAGTGGAGCTGAACTTAGTTCTGACTCCCAAAGAACTGACCAGTCCAAAAACCCCCCAAAATCATCCTTTGAGGTATGGGGCTGGTTCAGTCTATTTAGTAGCTCAGTGTCTGCAGCCAGTAATGATAGGAAAGGGACTTGAACTTGAGACAAGCTTATTCTTTTGCAGGGTTTTGCTCCTCCAGTCCTTGTTTTTGTACAGTCTATTGAGAGGGCTAAAGAGCTCTTCCATGAGCTTATTTATGAAGGCATCAATGTGGATGTCATCCATGCAGACAAAACTCAGCAACAGGTAAGGAGATATCAGTTCTGTCCAAGGAATGCTGTACAAAGAAAGGTGAAAGCAAGAGTATTGGAATGCAACTTCAGGTGACTGACAGTCAGCTGCTGCAGGTTTTAGTCGTTAACATGATGACAACTTTCAGGAAACAAGTTCAACTCCTTTCCTACACTGCTCATTGGGCTGTTCCCAAGTACCTCCCTTTTCTCTTCCCAGCGGGATAACGTCGTCCGCAGTTTCAGAGCTGGGAAGATCTGGGTGCTCATCTGCTCAGCCTTACTAGCTCGGGGGATTGACTTCAAAGGAGTGAATATGGTCATCAACTATGATTTGCCAACCAGTGCAGTGGAGTACATCCACAGGATAGGTGAGCCACTGTTCACACATCATGGCCTTCTCTCATCTCCTAGATCTGTAACGTAGATGCTCTTGTGCATGAGCAAAGCTCCAGAAAGCTGCTGTTGCTGGAGCACTGGCTGCTACATCACTTGAGCCAGTTTGTACCTGGGCTCAATTTCCAGTAAAACTGTGTTACTTTGAATCTTGTATACTTGAGCCAGTTTGTACCTGGGCTCAACTTCCAGTAAAACTGTGTTACTTTTTGTCTGTTTTCTGTGAATCTTGTATATCTGAAGCATCTCAGTATTCATGTACTTTCACTCAGTACAAACAGTCTGTGGGGGTTGGCTGCTTTGGTGGTATATGAACACACACCAGGAGGCCGGGGCTGTGAAGAGGAGTAGAATAAAAGGCAATATTTAAAGTGAAATCTCTACTCTTTGTGAAATTTGTGCTTGACAGGTCGTACTGGAAGAGCAGGGCACAGAGGAAAAGCAGTCACTTTCTTTACAGAGGATGATAAACCTTTATTACGGAGGTAAACTGGAAACAAGACACAGCAAACCTGTTCTCTCTGTTTTGTGTGGTGTGTGGCTGAGCCAGGTGGTTGTCTGGTAACACCCCCCTTGTATGCACAGTGTTGCCATGCTCTGGAAACCCCACGCTGCTGGGAGAAGCTCTTGTAAATAGAGAGGGAGAAATGTGTACTGAGATGGTGGAACTGAGAGGAGGTACCACAGTGTGGAAAAGACTGAGAGCATTTCAGTTTGAAGGTTTCTTTGTGAAGCTTTTCACTAATGCAGCAAGAACCTCACAAAAGGACAGGTTCAACACTCTTCACAACTAACTTGCCTCTTGTTCTGTTTTTTTCTGCATCTTTGCCATGCAGAAAGTATGACTACCCCATATTCTGTGCTTCAGGTTTTCTGATCCAGTTCTCCAACTTCCTTGGGTCCAAAATTACTTGGTACAATTCTCTGTTTTGGCATATTGATTTTTCTTCATCTCCTTGAAGATTGTACTCACCAAGAGCTTCCATTTGTTTAAACTATCCAAATGGAGTCATTAGTTTCACTTTAGCATTATATTTAATGTCTTTTTGCTTCTTCCCTTACTTCAGACTCACCTTTGTGTCTTCTTGCTTAATAAAAACCCCAACAACAAAAGCACCCAGATATTAGGGATTGCTTTTTTTTCCACAGAAGGTATTTATCTCTTGCTGGAGTTGATCTCTTCCCTCCTTTCCTTTCCAGCATAGCCAGTGTTATTCAGCGAGCTGGTTGTCCTGTGCCAGACTACATAAAACACTTGCCCAGACTGCAAAGGTGTGTGCATTTCAGTGGCTCCCCAGTTTGTTTCCCACTCTAAAAGCCTGCACTGGCAGTGCTGGGGGTAGGAGGGTTACAGAAGATCTTGTTTGCAATGTAGTTCCTGTTTAGCTACAAAAGGAATTGTAGGTGGGCTGCTGGTGGGGTGGGGTGTGGCCTGTGGCAGTTCTTTACCTAGTCCAAAATGGAAATAGAATTCTTGCCTTAGTGTTTTCTGGGAGTTAACTGTTTTTCTGTGAACCTCCTGAAATCTGCTTTAGACTTCCTAGGCCTACACACATAAATTTGGCTTCTGGTAAATGGAAGAAAGTCCTTCACTCTTTTGAGTTACCTTTAGAAAAATTGGTGTATGCCTATAGATAAATAGTTGTAATTAGTGCTTCTTTTCATGCTTTTTCACAGCTTCTACTGGTTTCTAAAACTAGAAATCCTTTATATATATATATTT